CCACTGATGATCAGCTCTCAATAAAAATTTATAAATCACAGGAGAAATGGAAAAACTATGAAAAAGAACGAGCAGAACAAATAGCGGCAGGATCCAAACTCTTAAGCGTTACAACTAATCCGAAAGGGACTTTAAACAAACAAAAAAACTTTAGTGGTCCAAACTTACTCATCTCTATGCAAGCATATTAGAAATCTGTAAGAAATATTTTTCTAGTAAAAATAATTTACCAGCCGAGACCGGTTTGGCTCAATGGATAGAGCGTCAGCTTGGGAACTGAAGGGTCCCTGGTTCGATTCTGGTCAAGGGCATGTACCTTGGTTGCGGGCACATCCCCAGTGGGGGGTGTGCAAGAGGCAGCTGATCAATGATTCATCGATGTTTCTTACTCTATCTCTCTCCCTTTCTCTCTGTAAAAAATCAATAAAATATATTTAAAAAAAAAAAATAAAAAAAAAAAAAATAATTTACCAAATTGACTCAGAAGAAATAAAAATCTAAATAAGCCAATTAGCCTAGAAGAATAGGAAAAGTTTTTAAGCAATTGGCCAAGCATTTCACAAGGGAATTCTATCAAATATTTAAGGAATAAATTATTCCAATATTATTTAAACTGTTCCAAGACATTGGGAAGTAAAAATCTTCCAAATTATTATTATTATTATTTTAATATTTTTTATTGATTTTTTTTTACAGAGAGGAAGGGAGAGAGATAGAGAGCTAGAAACATCGAGAGAGAGAGAGAGAGAGAGAGAGAGAGAGAGAGAGAGAGAGAGAGAGAGAAACATCAACCAGCTGCCTCCTGCATACCCCCCTACCAGGGATGTGCCTGCAACCAAGGTACATGCCTTTGATCGGAATTGAACCTGGGACCTTTCAGTCCACAGATCGACGCTCTCTATTCACTGACCCAAACAGATTTCGGCTCCAAATTATTTTTCTGAGGCAAGCATAATATTACTACCAAAACCTACCATTCTTACCAACAAAAGCATTAAAAGAAAACCACACACCAATGGTTTTGGTAGATGGACCTGGAAAGTATTATGCTAAATGAAATAAGCTAATCAGAGAAAGATAAATACCATATAATCTCACTTATATGTGGAATCTAATGAACAAAATAAACTGACCAACAAAAAAGAACCAGTGGTATGAATACAAGGAACAGACTGATAAATGTCAGAGGGGAGCGTTGAGGGGGTACTGAATGAAATAAGGTGAAGGGAATTAACCAAAAAAAATATATGCATTACCTACAGACACAGTCAACAGTGTGGTGATGGCCAGAGGAAAGGAGGGGGCAGGGGCTAGGTGGGGGTGGCCAAAGCTGGGTGGTGGTGGTGGAGGAATCCATAATAGTAACAAAAAAAATAAATTTAAGCCCAGCTGGTGTGGCTTGGTGGTTGAATGTTGACCCATGAACCAGAAGGTCACAGTTTGATTCTGGGTTGTGGGCTTGATCCCCAATGAGGGGGGTGCAGGAGATAGCTGATTGATGATTCTCTTTCTCCCTCTCCCTTCTTCTCTGAAATCAATAAAAACATTTATTTAATAAAAAAAATAACTATAGCCGGTGTGGTCCAGTGAATAGAGCATCAGCCTGTGGACCAAAGGGTACCAGGTTCAATTCCAATCAAGAGCATATACCTTGATTGCAGGTAGCAACCAATCGATGTGCTTCTCTTACATTGATGTTTCTCTCTGTCTTTCCCTCTCTCTCCCACTCTCCCTAAAAATCAATGGAAAAATATCCTTGGGTGAGGATTAACAAAAAAAATAATAATAAATTTTTTAAAATAAAGTTGAAAAGAAAAAAAATAGTAAAAAAATTTTACACCAATATCACAAATATCAAGGCAAAAACAACCCAGCAAAAAGAAGTTAGTAGCACATTAAAGATTAAAACACCGGGAATGCAAAGATAGTTCATTATTAGAATACCTACTACTAATATAATTCACTTTAATAAAGTATCAAAAAAGAAAAATACTTTTATCACCATATGTATTATAGTTCCCCAGAGAAATAGAACCAACCAAAGGGATATATACAGATAGAAAGAGATTTATTATTAGAAAATGGCTCACACGATTATGGATGCTGAGAAGTCCCAAGATCTGCAGTTAGCAAGCTGGAGACCCAGGAAGCCAAAGTGAAGTTCCAATCTGAGCCCAAAGGCCTGAGAGCCAGGAGAGCCAACGGTGTAAGTTCTAGTCCAAAAGATGACAGGCTCAAGGCCGAAGAAGAGCCAATTTTTCAATTCCAAGCAAAAGGCAGAAGACTGATGTCCCACCTCAAGCAACTAGGTAGAAGTTCCCTCTTAATCACAAAAGGGTCAGCCTTTTTGTTCTATTCAGGCCTCAAAATAATTGGATGAGGGCAACCCACATTAGGAAGGGCAATCTGCTTTACTCTGTCTACTGATACAAATGTTAATCTCACCCTAGCAAGTTTGGTTCAGTGGATAGAGCATCGGCCTACGGACTGACGGGTCCCAGGTTCAACTCTGATCAAGGGCACATGCCTGGGTTGTGGGCTTGATCCCCAGTAGGGAGTATGCAGGAGGCAGCCAATCAATGATTCTCTTTCATCGTTGATGTTTCTATCTCTCTCTCCCAATTCCTCTCTGAAATCAATAAAAATATATTTTTTAAAAATGTTAATCTCAAAATAATGTTTGACTAAATCTGTAGGCACTCCGTGGCCCAGTGAAGTTGACATAAAACTAACCATCATACTACAGATTCTGAAAAGACATTTGTTAAAATTCAACACCCATTTTTTTTTAAATATAGATATATATTTTATTGATTTTAGAGAGAAAGGAAGAGGGAGAGACAGAAACATTAATGATGAGAGAAAATCATTGATTGGCCACCTCCTGCTTGCCTCCTGCTAGGGATTGAGTCCACAACTCAGCATTTGCCCCAACCAAGGTGGAAATGTGACCTCCCATTTCATAGATGCATCAATGACAGCCACACCAGCCAGGCAACATCCATTCTTCATAACAACAATTCCTAAAAAATAGCGGGTATTTTTTGTAAAGATTTTGAATATCTAATAGAATAAAAGATATGTATTTCAGCTCCAAATCATATAATATTTAATTAGGAAACACCCCAGGTATTCTTAGTCAGGAATATGACAAACATGTCTAATAGCTCTATTATTTAACATTTTAGGAAGTATTAGTCAAGCAGTTTGTTGAGAAGAATGTAAGGTTTAAAAATGGAAAATAAATTTTTCATCATTCACAGTTGGTATGATATGATTATATACCATAAAAACAAATCAACTGAAAAACTATTGCAAATATTTTAAAACTTCAGTATGCCAGCTGTATCAAAGATCAATATGTAAAAAATTAATAGCTTTCATATACAAATAACAAAACAAAAAAAAGATAAAATGGAAGGAGAGTTCCCATTTACAACTGCAACAGGAGAGCAAACTAAGAATAAACATTGCAAGAAAAATGCAAGATATCAATATATATATATTTTGTGCTACTTGGGAGACATTAAAAATTTTAAATATAGCTGAAACCGGTTTGGCTCAGTGGTAGAGCATCGTCTGCGGACTGAAAGGTACCAGGTTCAATTCCAGTCAAGGGCATGTGCCTGGGTTGCGGGCACATCCCCAGTAGGGGGTGTGCAAGAGGCAGCTGGCCCATGTTTCTCTCTCATCAACATTTCTAGTTCTCTATATCTCTCCCTTCCTCTCTGTAAAAAATCGATAAAATATATTTTTAAATTTAAAAAAAAAAAAAAAATATATATATATATATATATATATATATACACATACACATTAAAAATTTTAAATATATATATATATTTAAAATTTTTAATGTGTACCAAGGAGCACAAAATACTTGAACATATATAAAGGCATGCCATGTGATTATATAAAGACTCACTATCATAAAGATATCAATCCTCCCTAAATTAATCTATAAACTTACTCTAAATAAAAAATGGCAACAGTTATGTTTTTGGAAAGTGGCAAACTGATTCTAAAACTCCCGTAAAAAAATAAGGAAGAAACACCAAGAAAATTCTGAAAAGGAAGAATAACAATGGGTAATTAGTCTAACTAGATATTAAAATAAAACCACAATGATTAAATTATTAACAGTGTGTATTGATATATGAATAGACAGGTTAATATAACAGAAAAAAGTTTAGAAACTGACATTAAACCCTCAGAGTTGAAAAAAGATTCTCTACAGTTATACTCTGAGTAGAAGTAGGATTTTTAAATGTCTTAACTGGGGGCAGGGATTAAAGAAAAAAAGCCTTAACCAATTTATTTCCAATACACCTTCCCTTTTTCAAAAGTATCCTATATAATAAAACCCTAATATGCAAATAGACAGAATGGGTAAATGACCAGTCACTATGACATGCATTGTCCACAGGGGGAGCACCATTCAGCCAGAAGTCGGGCTCATGACTGGCAAACACAGCAGCAGTGGCGGGAGCCTCTCCCGCCTCCACTTGAGGCCGGCTGTACGGAGTGAGGGATCCCACATTGTGAGAGGGCACAGGCTGGGCTGAGGAGAGCCACCCCCCCCGCAGTGTATGAATTTCGTGCACCAGGCCTCTAGTAAGTAACATGATAAAAAGCTATGCCTGCCGAAACCGGTTTGGCTCAGTGGTAGAGCGTCAGTCTGTGGACTGAAAGGTCCCGGGTTCGATTCCGGTCAAGGGCATGTACCTTGGTTGCAGGCACATCCCCAGTAGGGGGTGTGCAAGAGGCAGCTGGTTGATGTTTCTCTCTCATCGACATTTCTGGCTCTCTATATCTCTCCCTTCTTCTCTGTAAAAAATCAATAAAATATATTTTTTAAAAATAAAAATAAAATAAAATAAAGCTATGCCTACCTAATCAAGTCTATAAGAACCGTTTAAATAAAAATAATATATCTAGGACTTCCTGTAATGGCTGCTTCCTGGAAGGCACTGTCATGTGGAACCTCGTAGCCTCCACATTCTTAACTCCAGGAATAGAGTATTTCACGTCAGACAGAGTTACACAAACAGTATATTGTTTCTTTGAAACCTTCAGCACTCAAGATTCAGACATCTCAAGGTCCCCACATCATGACCTCAGTTCCAGCACAACTGTTCACAGTCCTCGTTTCACTGCTTTTGGTGCTGCCTGCTGTTGAAGCAGTAGAAGCTGGAGATGCAATCATTCTTTTCTTAGGTGTGGTTCTCTGCATTACAGGCATTTGTGCTTGTTTGGGGGTATATGCACGAAAGAAAAATGGAGAGGTGTGACTTCGAAGGGCTTCCTGAATCCAGCCTTGCCCTGAAAACATTTGAGCTATTCAGGTTAAAAACTGAGCTTTGGTGTCTGAAAGTTCCCAAGAAACAGTACACAGGGTAATTTTACATTCTTTTCTTTTTTTTTTTCTTTTTTTTTAATATATTTTATTAGCCGGGACCGGTTTGGCTCAGTGGATAGAGCGTCGGCCTGCGGACTGAAAGGTCCTGGGTTCGATTCTGGGCAAGGGCATGTACCTTGGTTGCGGGCACATCCCCAGTGGGGGGGGTGCAAGAGGCAGCTATCGATGATTCTCTCTCATTGATGTTTCTAACTCTCTATCCCTCTCTCTCCCTCTCTGTGAAAAATCAATAAAATATATTTTTTTTAAAATAAAATGAGAGAGAAACATCAACCAGTTGCCTCCTGCACACCCCCTACCGGGGATGTGCCCACAACCAATGTACATGCCCTTGACCGGAATCGAACCTGGGACCCTTCAGCCTGCAGGCCGACACTCTATCCGCTGAGCCAAACCGGCCTCGGCGTCATTTTACATTCTTAAGTTTCCCTATAAAGGGGAATAAATTTATATATGTTAAATGGAAAAAAATTCTTTTTCACAAATAATAAAATAATGCAATGAAACATGCAATCTATAATTTAGTTGCTAGTTAGAGAGGGTCAAAGAAGTAAGATGGCTGAAATTTGCATAAGTAATATTTAGTAATCTCAAAAATTCTCAAAGCACATGAAATTGAAAGAAGGAAACTCCTGCCCAGAATCCTAGGAAGTAGCCACTATTCCGTTGTAATTACTGCCTCCTACATTATTGAAGAGTCTTTTCTCTATGTTTTTTTTTTTTTTTGTATTTTTGTTTTGTTATCTCCCATTAATATTGTACTTAGATATTAGACATTAAATATAGTCAGTCAAAAAAATAATAATATATCTAAGTAATAAGAACTGTTTGAAGACTCCGAATAGCCACAGCAATCCCGAGAAAGAACAGTAAAGTAGGAGGGATCTCAATACCAGACTTCAAGCTGTATTACAAAGCCACTGTTCTCAAAACTGCCAAGAACAGACATATAGATCAATGGAATAGAATCGAGAACCCAGATATCAACCCAAATCACTATGCTCAGTTAATATTTGACAAAGAAGGCACGAATATACAATGGAGTCAAGACAGTCTCTTCAATAAATGGTGTTAGGAAAATTGGACAGATACATGCAAAAGAATGAAACCAGATCACCAACTTACAACATACACAAAAATAAACTCAAAATGGATACAGGACTTAAACATCAGACGGGAAACCATAAAAATACTAGAAGCATCCACAGGCAGCAAAATCTCAGACATATGCCAAAAGAACTTCTTCACTGATACTGCCCCTAGCCTAGGGCAATGGAAGCTAAAGAGAAAATAAACAAATGGGAACTACATCAAAATAAAAAGCTTTTTTACAGCAACAGAAACCATCAACAAAACAACAAGAAAGCCCACTGTATGGGAGAACATATTTGCAAATGTTATCACTGATAAAGGTTTAATCTCCAACATCTACAGACAGCTTATACAACTAAATAAAAGGCAGATGAATGATCCAATTAAAAAATGGGCAATGGACCTAAATAGAATATTTTCAAAAGAAGACAGAAGGAAGGCCAAGAGACACATGAAAACAAGCTCAAAGTCACTAATTATTTGAGAGATGCAAATCAAAACAACAATGAGGTACCATCTCATACCTGTAAGAATGGCCAACATCAACAAATCAACAAACGACAAGTGTTGGCAAGGTTGCAGAGAAAAAGGAACCCTCGTGCACTGCTGGTGGGAATGCAGACTGGTGCAACCACTGTGGAGAACAGTATGGAGCTTCCTCAAAAAACTGAAAATGGAACTCCCATTTGACCCAGTAATCCCACTCCTAGGATTATATCCCAAGAAACTAGTGAATAGAAACACCAATCAGAAAGGATATATGCACCCCTATGTTTACAGCAGCACAATCTACAATAGCTAGGATTTGGAAACAGCCTAAGTGCCCGTCAGTAGATGATTGGATAAAAAAAACTATGGTACATCTACACAATGGAATACTATGCCGCCATAAAAAAGAATGGATTCTCATCGTTTGCAGCAACCTGGATGGAATTGGAGAACATCATGCTGAGTGAAATAAGCCAGTCAATGAAAGAGAAACACCACATGACCTCACTCATTTATGGATAATAAAGAACAGTATAAACTGATGAACCAAAAGATAGATATAGAGACAGTAAAGCAACAAGTAGACTGTCAAATTACAGCGGGGAGGGGAGGGATATCTGGGGGAAATAAGAGATCAACTGAATGACTTGTATACATGAATATAGGTACAACCAATGAACACAAAATTCTGGGGAGAGAGGGTATGTATAGGGGGGAGAGCAATGGTAAGATATGTACACAGATAATAATTTAATTAAAAATAAATAAATAAATAAATAAATAAATAAATAAAGTAGAATAAAATAAAGAACTGGGCGCGCACAGGTGGGCAAGGCTGACTTGACGCTGCATGCGTGGCATGGAGCCCTCCTGGGATGGCGAGGTCCCCCAGCTCCATGCAGTGAGGCCTGCCTGGGGTTTCCAGCTTCGCATGGTGAAGCCTGGCAGGAGATCCCCCGGCTCCACACACCAAGGCCTGCCTGGGGTCCCTGCTTCCTCCAGGCTTCGTGTGGTGAGGCCTGCTTGGGCGTCCTTGGGGGTCCCACCTCCCGGCTCCGCACAGTGAGGAGGCAGGACTCCCAGCTCCGGCCTACCTCTTTGGGGCAATCCATTGAGGAGCCCCAGATGGGTGAGCAGGGCCTACCTCTTACCTCTTTGGAGCAATCAATTGCTGGGCACCCACACTGTAACAGGGCACAGACCAGGTTGGGGGACCTTCCTCACCCCCGCCAAGTAAACAAATCTCATGCACTGGGCTTCTAGTAAGTCATAAAACATTAGAAGAAACATAGCATAATATTTTCTTTTTAAAAATATTTTTATTTATTTTAGAGAGAAAGGGAGAGGGAGAGAGAGAGAGATGAGAGAGAATCATTGATCAGCTGCCTCCTGCATGCTCCCTATTGGGGATCAAGCCCACAACCCAGGCATGTGCCCTTGTCAAGAATCAATACTGAGGCCCTTCAGTCCATAGGCCGATAATCTATCCACTGAGCCAAACCTGCTAGGGCTAACATATTTTTCAAAACTTCGCAATGAGAAGGGTCCCTTTGGCAAAATATAAAATTCACAAGTTATAAATGAGAAGATTGAGAGACCTAATTATATAAAAAGACAAAAGACAGGCAGAGAGAAAATATTTGTAACACATGTAATAAAGAATTATTATCAGGATTTATAAAGAACTATAAAAAAATCAACACAATAAAAATATAAGTAAATTATATAAATAACCAACAGAAAAAGATTTCACTAATAATCAGCATACAAAATTTAAATAAATTAATAATCCTGGAACATATGGTCAATTGATTTTTTACAGGGTGCCAGGACAATTCAGTGGGGAAAGAACAGTCTTTTCAACAAATGTTGCTGGGAAATTGTATATCCACATGCAAAAGAATGAAGTTAGGCCCTTACTGTACACCATATACAAAAAAAAATTAACTTACATGGATCAAACTCCTAAATGTAAGAGCTAAACTATAAAATTCTTACAACAAAACACTAAGAAAAATCTTCATGATGTTGAATTTGGCAGATTTCTTGGATATGATACCAAAAGTATAAGTAACAAAAGAAAAATGAGATATATTGAACTTAGAGTTTAAAATTTGTGTGCATCAAAGGACACAATCAAAAGAGTGAAGACAGTCGAAACCAGTTTGGCTCAGTGGTAGAGCGTCGGTCTGCGGACCGAAAGGCCCCAGGTTCAATTCCGGTCAAGGGCATGTACATTGGTTGCGGGCAGCTGGTCGATGTTTCTCTCTCATCGACGTTTCTAGTTCTCTATCTCTCTCCCTTCCTCTCTGTAAAACATCAATAAAATATATATATCTTTTTAAGATTTTTTTAAAAAGAGTGAAGACAACATATAGAATAGGAGAAAGTATTTTTAAGTCATATATCTGATAAGATATCCTTATCCCTTACATACAACCTAATTAAAAAATGAGCAGAGGACTTGAATAGACATTTCTCCAAAGAAAATAACCAAAAGGCTATAAGCACAAAAAAATTTGTTCAATATCACTAATCATTAAAGAAATATAAATCAAAGCTACAGGAGATATCACTTCATACCCTCCAGGATTGCTACTATTAAAAAGAAAATAACAAGTGTTGGTGAGAATGAGGAGACATTGGAATCCTTTTGCATTGCTGGTGAGAATGTAAAATGGTACAGCCACAGTGAAAAATAGTGTGGTGGTGCCTTAAAAAGTTAAGCACAGACTAAGTGAAATAAGGCAGTCACAGAAAGACAAATACTACATGGTTTCATTTAAATAAGGTACATATCTCAAGTAGACAAACTCATAGAAACAGAAAGTAGAATAGTTGTTGCCAGGATGTGGGGGATAAGGAAGAAGTGGGGGGAGTTGTTGTCTCATGGCTATAGAATTTCAGTTTTGCAAGATGAAAAACTTCTAGAGATTGGTTACACAACAATGTGAATATACTTAACATTACTTAATTGTACACTTAAAAATAATTAAAATAACAAATTTTGTTATATGTATTTTATCTTTTTTTTATAATTAAACATAGACCTGGCCAGTGTGACTCAGTGGTTGAGCATTGACCTATGAACCAAGAAGTCATGGTTTGATTGCCATTCAGGGCACATGTCCGGGTTTCAGGCTCAATCCCCAGGAGGCATGCAAGAGGCAGCCGATCAATGATTCTCTTTCATCATCGATGTTTCCATCTCTCTCTCCCTCTCCCTTTCTCTCTGAAATCAATAAAAATATATATTTTTTTAAGTTAAACAGAGAATTACTATATGACCAAAAATTTCTCTTATAGGTAAATACCCAAAAGGATTGAAAACAGGGATTCAAACTAATACTTGTACACTAAGTTCATAGCAGCATTATTCACAATAATCAAAAGATGGCAACAATAGAAATGTCCATCAATAGGTGAATGGATAACCAAAATATGGTATATACATACAATGGGATATATTCAGCCATAAAAAGAAATGGAATTCTGACATAAGCAACAACAGGGATGAAACTTAAGGATATTTAGCTAAGTGAAACAAGCCAGACACAAAAAGACAAATATTGTATGATTCCATTAATATGAGGTACCTAGAATAGGCAAATTCTATGAATGTAGAATAGAGTTAACAGGGGTTCAGGATAGGGACAAATAGGGAGTTATTGTTTAATGGATACAAAGTTTCTGTTTGGGATGATGAAACAGTTCTGGAAACAGATAATACACAACACTGTAAATGTACTTAATGCCACTGAACTGTACACATGGTTAAATAATAAATTTAAGTTATGTATATTTTACTATCGATACATTAAAAAGAGAGAGAGAGTGCCCTTGCTGGTTTGGCTCAGTAGACACAGCGCTAGCCCAAGGACTGAAGGGTCTAGGAGGTCTAGGATTTGATTCGGTCAAGGGCATGTACTTCAGTTGCAGGCTCAATCAGGGCTTGTGCAGGAGGTAATCAATCAATGTGACTCTCTCACATCAATCTTTCTCTCTCTATGTCTCTCCCCTTCCCTTTCATTCTCTCTCTGAAAATCACTGGAGAAAATATCCTCTGGTGAGGATTAACAAAACAACAGAGAAAGAGGGAGGGAAGAAGGGAGGGAGGAAGAGAGAGGAGGAGAAGGAAAGGAATAGGAAACAGTGAACACTGAGTTGGAGATAACTTTGTGAAAGTGTTTTGGTCCAAAAGAGAATAAGACATGAGGGAGTATAGCAACAAGAGATGATTTTCTCCCTTTAAAGTTTTTTTTTTTTTTAAGTTGAGAGAAATAACAATGTTTACATGCTGATAAAAATAATTTAATAGGGAATGAAATATGATGTAGGAAAGGGGAGAATTTCTTAGGTAATGTCTTTGAGTAGGCAAATGGAAATAGGATATACCATACAAATAGAAATATGGCTTACATTGGAGCATGGTAGTTCATCCATCGTGACAGATATAAAGGCCAAATAAGTGGATAGACATGTGGATTAGTAGCCATATGTGGTGATGGGAGGCCATAGAAGTTCTCTTCCATTTGCTTCAGTTTTCTCAGTGAATTAGGAAGCAAGATCATCACTGAAAGTGAGAACGAGAGAAGTTCTGGAAGTATGATCAGAGAAAAAAAGGTATGAAATAATCTGGGAGTATAAATGAAGTAGGGAAATACGATTCTTGGGAGAATTAAAGGCTCAATTTTATTAAAAGTGTGCAAACACACTGGCCAATGTAAGCTTGGTTGAATGTCATTCCACATACTGAAAGGTATCGGGTTTGATTTCCATTAGGGCACATACCTAGGTTTCAGGTTCAATAATGGTTGAGGCCCTGGGAGGCAACCAACTAACCAACTGATGTTTCTCTCTAACATTGATGCTTCTCTCTCTCTTCTTCCCCTCCCCCCCCGCTCTTTCTCCCCCTTACCTCTCTCACTAAAATCAATAAAAACAGCCCTAGCCGGTTTGGCTCAGTGGATAGAGCATCAGACTCTGCAATTGAAGGGTCCCAGGTTTGATTCCAGTCAAGGACATGTACCTCAGTTATAGACTAGATCCCCAGGCTCTGGTGGGAGGCAACCAATGGATGAGTCTCTCTCTCTCTCTAAAAATCAATGGAAAAATATACTCAGGTAAGGATTAACAACAACAACAAAATTAATTAATTAAATTAAATTAAGTCAATAAAAACATCCTTGGGTGAGGGGGAAAAAAGGAAGAACTTACAATAATAAAAGTGTAATGTGCAAATCAACCAAATGGCCGAAAAGTAGAATAACCGCCTGGATGACCATATTATGACATCCACTGGTGCCAGGCCAGCCCAGGTGGGTGCGATGCAAATGGTTGGGGGCCCAGCCATCACCCCATGATCACCAGGTAGAGGGAGGCCAGTTCACAGGTGGAGCCTCTTCCGCCTCCACAGCAGTGCTAAGGATGTCCAACTGACAGCTTAGGCCCGCGGGAAGGAGCGGACCTAAGCTAGCAGTCAGACATCCCCCGAGAGCTCCCGAACTGCAAGAGGGCACAGGCTGGGCTGAGGGGCATCCCCGCTTCGAGTGCATGAATTTCATGTGCCAGGTCTCTAGTGAAAATTTTATAAAATAAATAAATAAAAAAGGAAGCAAACAAAACCTTTGCCTGTGTGGCTCAACTGGTTGGGTACCAGCCCATGCACCGAAAGATTGCCATTTGATTCCCCGTCAGGGCACATGCCTTGGTTATAGGCTCAACTCCTAGTAAGGGTGCATGCCAATCAATATTTGCTCTCACATTGATGCTTCTCTCTCTCTCTCTCTCTCTCTCTCTCTCTATTTCTTTCTCTCCCTTTCTCTTCCTCTCTAAAAATCAATGAAAAATCTTTAAATGTGAAGTATAATGTATACTATATATATTTTTTTTTAAGCAAATGAAAACTATATGTACAGGTATAAATATATGTGCATATTTTTATATGTACATATAAAATTTTACATATGTATATAAGATATGTGTATAATATATGCATAAGCTTAGAAAAGGATCCAGAATTAACACCAAATTGTTAACAGTGTTTATAACTGGAGATATAGATATAGATATACAGATATAGATATACAGATAAAGGAAAAAGTGGAAGAGTCTCCTATATTATTTGGTTTTTTATCAGCATGTATTATTTTACAATTAAAATAATAAGATATCTCACAGGTTAATAAATAACTTGAGGAAACGGTTTAGAACAGCGGTCGCCAACCTTTCAGATCTCACAGGCCACCAATGGACCACCAGTTGGTGACCACTGGTTTAGAACACTATTCAAGATCCACAGCATGCTGACTAGGTAAAGCCTGTGTCCTAATTAATTAAACACAACTATCAATTCTGCAGTGAAGCTGAACATCAACAAGACAATATGAGAAAAGATGAGACATCACTCACCTTGAATACTTCAGAAAAGAAGCCAGATCCTATTTTTTCATAGGTGAAGTCATCTAAACGTGTCAGTCTGGAAAAGGCACTTATAAGAGCTCGATATGAAGATGTCCCAACTCGTCCCACCTGGGTCATGTTCCCATCGTTTCCAACACCCCCTTCAAAATCTTCATGACGCTCCAAACGTGGAGGAAATCCTGCAATTGAATTCCGTTTGCTCCGATCCATAGTTGCAATAATCACCGTTTTCTTCTTTTAAGAAGGAACTCCACACATAATAAATTTTTGTTGAGTTTTACTTCTCTTCCGGTTTGACACTAAACAAGAGGTCAAAAAGATACTTCATTAAAACCATTAATAAACACATACAAACCAATAAACTAGCAAGTAAAAATATTTCTTCTTTCACATTCTAGTTCCTGACTTTCAGACCTAAAAAATACTTTATGCCTTTACCTTCAAAACACAGATATATTTAAATCTCAGATATAATCAGTCTTTAACATGAGTAAAATACAATGAAGATCACCAATTACATTCTAAAGAACAAAATAACAATGGTAATCTCTCTCATTTGATGAGCATCTACTACCTAGGAAACAAGTATAAAAACCCAAAATATGTCATGTCATTTGATTCTCACATAACTTATGATATAAGGATTATTATGTTCATTTCACAAAGCAATCAAGTAATCATACAGCTCACTAAATGGCAGAGATAACATTAAAATGCAAGACTGTCTTTTTAAAAAGCCTGTGCTTCAAAAATAAACTCAAAATGGATACAGGACTTAAACATAAGACAGGAAACCATAAAAATACTAGAAGCATCCACAGGCAGCAAAATCTCAGACATATGCCAAAAGAACTTCTTCACTGATACTGCCCCTAGGGCAATGGAAGTTAAAGAGAAAATAAACAAATGGGACTACATCAAAATAAAAAGCTTTTTTACAGCAAAAGAAACCATCAACAAAACAATAAGAAAGCCCACTGTGTGGGAGAACATATTTGCAAATGTTATCACTGATAAAGGTATAATCTCCAACATCTACAGGCAGCTTATACAACTAAGTAAAAGGCAGATGAAAGACCCAATTAAAAAATGGGCAATGGGCTCTCGGCGTCCGGCTTGGTTCGCGGCGACATGGCTAAACGCACCAAGAAGGTCGGAATCGTCGGTAAATACGGGACCCGTTATGGCGCCTCCCTCCGGAAAATGGTGAAGAAGATTGAGATCAGCCAGCACGCCAAGTACACCTGCTCCTTCTGTGGCAAAACCAAGATGAAGAGGCGAGCCGTGGGGATCTGGCACTGTGGGTCCTGCATGAAGACAGTCGCTGGCGGTGCCTGGACCTACAACACCACTTCTGCCGTCACAGTAAAGTCAGCCATCAGAAGACTGAAGGAATTGAAAGACCAGTAGGAGCTCCACAGTTGGAAATATTGTGAGCCTATAATAAATGGGTTAATTTATATGACAAAAAAAAAAAAAAAAAAAAAAATGGGCAATGGACCTAAATAGAATATTTTCAAAAGAAGACAGAAGGAAGGCCAAGAGACACATGAAAACAAGCTCAAAGTCACTAATTATCTGAGAGATGCAAATCAAAACAACAATGAGGTACCATCTCACACCTGTCAGAACGGCCAACATCAACAAATGACAAGTGTTGGCAAGGTTGCAGAGAAAAAGGAACCCTCGTGCACTGCTGGTGGGAATGCAGACTGGTGCAACCACGTGGAGAACAGTGTGGAGTTTCTTCAAAAAACTGAAAATGGAACTCCCATTTGACCCAGTAATCCCACTCCTAGGAATATATCCCAAGAAACTAGAAACACCAATTAGAAATGATATATGCACCCCTATGTTCATAGCAGCACAATTTACAATAGCTAGGATTTGGAAACAGCCAAGGTGCCCATCAGCAGATGATTGGATCCAAAAACTATAGTACATCTACACAATGGAATACTATGCTGCCATAAAGAAGAAGGAATTCTCATCATTTGCAGCAACCTGGATGGAATTGGAGAACATCATGCTGAGTAAAATAAGCCAGCCAATGAAAGAGAAACACCACATGACCTCACTCATTTATGGATATTAAAGAACATTATAAACTGATGAACCAAAAGATAGATATAGAGACAGTAAAGCAACAAGCAGACTGTAAAATTACAGCGGGGAGGGTAGGGAGATATGGGGGAGATAACAGATCAACTGAAGGACTTATATACATGCATATAAGTACAACCAATGGGCACAAAACTCTGGGGAGAGAGGGTATGTATGGGAGGGGGGGAATGTTAAAATATGTACACAGTTGATAATTTAATTTAAAAAATGTAAAAAAAAATAAAAATAAATAAAATTTAAAATTAAAAAAATAAATTTAAAAAAACCTGTGCTTTTACTAATGCCTTGCATAGCCTCACATATTTTTCTCTTCATTTGAAAAATTAAGACCAAATATACAAAACAAAGATGATAAAGATTTTATACTATAAAATTATATAGTTTTAGCCCAGCTGGTGTGGCTTAGTGGTTGGGCATTGGTCTATGAACCAGGAGATCTCGGTTCAATTCTAGTCAAGGGCACATGCCCAGGATGCAGGCTTAACCCCCAGTGTGGAGCGTGTGGGAGGCGGCGAGACAATGGTTCTCTCTCATTGTTGATGTTTCTATCTCTCTCTGTCCCCCTTCCTCTCTGAAATCAATAGAAATGTATTTTTTTAATTATATAGTTTTAAAAGAAAAAAACTATATCCAAAAGCAACTTAAAAATTCACTGTTAATTAAACAGCACAGTCCAGCAGAAGTGACTGTAGAAGGCTCCACCCTAGCTGTTTCATAAGTAAGAATAAAACACAATTGGCTCAGTGGAGAGAGCGTCAGCCTTCAGACTGAAGGGTCCTGGATTGGATTCCAGTCAAGGGCATGTACCCTGATTTTAGGCACATACCCAGTGCAGGAGGCAAATGATCGATGTTTCTCTCTCATTGATGTTTCTAACTCTCTATCTCTTCCTCTCTGTAAAAAATCAAAATATAGTTTTTTTTAAAAAGAATAAAACATAAGCCTACATTTTCTTTTAGCCTATCTCCCCCTACATCTATTGCTTTCCAGGAGAATTGATTTTAAGGGTCTTGTGAACAGTACAACAAAGTGAGTCTTCAATTAGAGAAATGCTTTCATAAATGTGATGAATACATAGCCCAGATTACCTTTACCACCTCCAACCAGGGAGAATAATGACAGGGCACCCAGGGCTATCCTCCCAGCATGACCCTGACTCTCTACCAATATGCAGAATTTTTGCCAGTCTACACAACATGAACCAATTACAGTTCCTTTCCTAGCAATTGGAATTATAATTAAGATATTCCAGACTCATCTGACTACTTTATAAAAAGAAAGCCTGGTCAACTCAAGAGTGCTGGCCATTGCCATTTCTTGCCATGAAGCCTATAAGGCTGAAAAAGCCAATTGATCATTTATCTTCTTCAAGGATCTTAAAACCCAGATTCTTGGATTTCAACCTTTATCTCATAAGTCAGAATAAAATCTCTTGGAGTGAGAACTGGGAATTTTACCAAACTCCCCAGTGATTCTTATGTACATTAAGAGTTGAAGATTCTGCCAAAACCGGTTTTGCTCAGTGGATAGAGCGTCGGCCTGTGGACTGAAAGGTCCCAGGTTCGAATCCAGTCAAGGACATGTAGTACCTTGGTTGTGGACATATCCCCAGTAGGGAGTGTGCAAGAGGCAGCTGATGCATGATTCTTACTGATGTTTCTAACTCTCTATCCCTCTCTCTTCCTCTCTGTAAAAAAATCAATAAAATATATTGTTTTTTAAAAAAAGAGTTGAAGATTCTTTACAACAGGAAAGGGAAATGTTAATAGCTTTTTTAAAAAAGAAATTTTATAAGCATTTTCTCATTTATTCCTCAAGACATACCCCCAAAATATGATCCCCATTTTACAGAAAAAGAAATGTAGGTTAACTTGCATAAGGATACATAGCTGGTAGAACCAGAATTGAAAGCAAGGTCCATCCAGCACCAAAAAAACTCAAGCTTTTCCCACATCATTATTACTTAGTTCAGTGTTTTCCCACTATGAGAGTTGTAAGGATCTAAGCTAGTCATCTGGGTAGAAAGAAGGAAAGGATGGCCAGGACTTGAGTGTAGAGGAAAGACAAACTAACTGTAATTTGGACAGAGATAGAACAGGAGGAAAAAGAAACTTAATTTTAGGAAAATAAAATACAAGATATTGTAGTTAAAACAATATATAAAACATAGTTCCTGCTAAATTAACTAAACAATTTGATAGGCTTGTTATGAATAAGATATAGCCCATAAAACTGGTCATTTTCTACAATAGGAATACTAACAAGTGCATTAGCTGTGTGTATCAAGACCAACCATATGGCAAATCTACATGACAGGTTTGCTCAGTTGCTATCCTTTCTATGGACCAATTTAGCAAGTACAGACACATTTCAATACTGCTGAACTTACCATCCTGCTGTGAAATCATGAGTTGCAGTTTCCATTCAAATCAAAAGCAATCTAACATAAAAACTGACATCCCTATTTACTTAATTAGCCACGAACATATACAATGGCATATATTAGTAACTGACAGATCAAAAGCAAGTTCTTAAAACTGTATTATCTCTTTTATTTTATTTTTTTTAAATATATTTTATTGATTTTGTACAGAGAGGAATGGAGAGAGATAGAGAGCTAGAAACATCGATGAGAGAGAATCATCGATCAGCTGCCTCTTGCACACCCACTAATGGGGATATGCCCGCAAATAAGGTACATGCCCTTGCCCGGAATCGAACCCGGGACCCTTCAGTCCCCAAGCCGACTCTCTATCCATTGAGCCAAACCGGTCCCGGCTGTATTATCTCTTTTAGATAAATATTTTATTTCCAGTAATAATCACAATCCACGAGGCCCCATAAACTTACATTGAAAGCTGTAAAGGCATTTGGAGGTTAACTAGTCCAATCTTTTGGCCAATTCAGAAATCCCTTCTATTAATGGAGTCAAATGTTAATTGGGTTCCCCCTGGGTACAAAGCATTATGATAGGTGCTATATATACTGAGCATTTACTATAATCCATACACTTTTCTAAGTACTTTATATTTAATATTCATAATAGCCCTTATAAAATAAATACTATTACTAAATGTTTCACAAATGTGAGAAAAAAGCATGAAGGAATTAGTTAACTTGTCCAAACTCTCTCAGTGATAGAGTCAGAATTCAAATCTAGACATTGTACTTTTTTTTTTATTTTTTTTTATTATTATTTTTAATCCTCACCCAACTAAATACAATAAGAATATTTTTCCATTGACTTTTAGAGAGAATGGAAGAGAGAGGGAAGGACAGAGAGAAATACCGATGTGAGAGAAACACATCAATTAGTTGCTTCCTGCACGTGCCTGACTAGGGCCCAGGCCAGGGAGAGAGGACTAGACTGAAGATGCAGACTTGAAAGTCAATAGTATTTACACAACCCCCCCCCCACTCAATTGGGCCAGATTCAGACCCGGCTAGTCTCACCCTTGTCAATCCCTGCCGGTAGAGGGCATAGTCTTAGGTCCCCTGCCTGGTACCAGTACAGGGGGCATGGCCTGAGGTCCCCCAGCCCAGACCAGGACTGGGGATGTGCCATGAGGTCCTCTGTCAAGCCCCACCAGGTGGGGGGGGGCACAGCCTCAGGTCTCCCAAGCCCCACTGGGCAGGAGCGAGGCCTGAGTTCCTCCAACCCAGCATTGGGGGTGCACCTTGAGGTCCCCTATCAAGCCCAGCCAGGCAGGGGGTTGCAGCCTCAGGTCTCCTGGCCTGGTGCTGGGGCGGGGGGGCACAGCCTGAGGTTCCCCAAAAGCCCCACAAGGCAGGGGGTGCAGTCTGAGGTGCCCCAGCCTGGTGCTGGGAGGGGGAGCAGCCTGAGGTCCCCTAGCCCAGCACCAGGACGAGAAGCGCACCTTGAGGTCCCTGTCAAGCCCTGCTGTGTTGGGGGTGCGGCCTAGGTACCCTGTCAAGCCCTGCTGGGTGAGGGAGGGCATAGCCTCAGGTCCCTGCTGATTGTTCCTTAAGGCTCCTTATGGGATCTTGGCCTCACCTGTGGGTGCAGCCATCTTTGTGACAAAGTGATGGTCAATTAGTATAGTCTCTCTTTATTTTTATTTTTTTTATTTTATTTTATTTTTTTAATATATTTTATTGATTTTTCACAGAGAGGAAGAGAGAATTAGAGAGTTAGAAACATCGATGAGAGAGAATCATCGATCAGCTGCCTCTTGCACACCCCCTACTGGGGATGTGCCCGCAACCAAGGTACATGCCCTTGCCCGGAATCGAACCCGGGACCTTTCAGTCCGCGGGCCGACGCTTTATCCACTGAGCCAAACCGGTCCCGGCTAGTCTCTCTTTATTAAATAGGATAAGTAATATTTACTAAGTTGCTACTA